TCTGAAATGAATTAACTCAGTTAACACTTGAGAGTTATTTTGCAGCAAATCCCAGAGAACATCTGAAGAGCTCTTTGTCACTGTGAATTATAGCCTAAACAGGTGGTTGATGAGCCTGCTTTGAGCTGAGAGTGGCTCCTTGCTGCCCTGGCTGCTCCCCTCAGGGAAGCCTGAGTAGCACTGCAGTGATACCTGACAATCCAGGATAAACTTATTAGACCTTGTCATTGTTGCCTGTTTTTAAGGTTTTTAAAATTTCTTTCTAGAGTGTTGCATCAGGTATAAGGGAGGAAATAACAAGCACAACAGTCCTGAATTTTCAAACAACATGGATGAAATAAACATTGATGTACAGGAATGGCAGTTAAGTGCAATGGAGGTGCAAATGCTCATTTTAAATCTTTCTTGGAAGAAGTGACTTAGAAATACCGTGTCATTTTGCACATACTGAGTGAGAGGGTTGAGGGGTTCCCTTCAGAGTTCACAGCCTCAGCAGAGGTGTGAGAGAAGCAGGGTCTGCAGTACAGAAAGGACGTAGATGTGAGCAGTTTGAACCATAAGATGGTGAGTCCTGTCACCCTAGGTAGGCTCACTGGCTCTCTCACAGTGCTCCCTCACATCTGCCAAACTTAAAACTTGAAGAGCTAAAAGCCATGGACAACTCTCATTATTTTGAGAAACAAAAGTGTCTTTTTCTGAACTCAGAACTCTGGCTTCCTAAGTATTTGTGGTATAGGATGAACCTTCTCTTGGGTTGAATGCAGACAGAGATAGAAGTTTACAGACAATTCCATTTGTCTCAGAAACATGTTCCTAACTTCCTAAAAATGCAGATAGAAAAATCTGTCCTTCAATGACCATGCAGCAGTGACTTCAGTGAGTGAAAGTGCATGTGGAAATGCCAGGTGTGCAGCTTAGTAATGCCTGCATGACCTTTTACGTGGCAGGTTGTGTTGCTGCCACCAGAAAGTGACCAGGGAGCCACATCCTCAGTTCCTGGCAGGGAAAGTTATTTGAAGTAGGATAAAGTTGGAAAGAGACCAGAGGAGTGAAACCTTTCCTGTTTAGTAATGTTGCAAAAAAATAAACAAAAGTTTTTTGCAAACAACTTATGGCCATATGTATTGCAGAAATTCTTTTATCCAGCCATTCATAATGGGAGTGGAAATGTGGCTCATTCTCTTACTTAAGGAAATTTTCTAACATTAAATTGCAGTTAATTTGATTTTGCAGAGATTGCATGTTTTATTTTTTCTTGCTGTGTTATTTTTCTTCCCTCTCTTAGCAAAATTCTGAAAATGTTGCCTGAAATAAGTTATCTCAAGTAGCAGATGCTGAGAATGGGGAATTACACCCATGGTTCCAGCTTGGACCGTCAGCTTCAAGGAGTTTAATTACTTCAAAACTTTTTCCCTCGTTAATAGTGAATTTAATCAATATTTGTTTGAGACATCACACTTATTTCCTAATTAGTAGGTGACTTTTGCCAAAGGAGGGGGAGTAAGTGCTGGAGTCTTTTCTATGAAGAAATACAAAGCAATCTTTGTATCTTTGATTTGTTTAAGCTAGTTTTGCTATGCACATTTTCAGGGGTGGGGAGGAAACTGCTGCAAGTAAAACTAGATAAGAAAACCCCAGTATTTCTGACTCTTGCTAATGGGCCCCTTTGTGAGACACTGTCTGCCCTCCCCTGGTTTCCTAGGAAATGCTGGATACCTGAAGCATCTTTGGCCGTGTGAAAAAGGTGGTATACAGCTTTGTGCCAGTGCAAATGCTCGTGTTTGGAAGAAGACAGTAATTAAATGGAGTTCTGATAGGTTTGGCTTGTGCTGCTCTGAATTCAGCTTTGAATTCAGCCTATCTGTTCACTCACCACATGAACTGGTTTCCTTTTCTTTTTCACCCTCCCTGTAGACTGTCGACAGATGAGCTCAGAAAATGCTCCATGTGCTGCTTGACATCAGCTGCTGAAGAACAGACTTGGGTGGATGTTGAGTTTGTCAGTGTATCTATAATGCTCTTTTATGAACAACGCCTTGATGAATACTTCACTGCTCATCTCTTCGCTATGAAGCTTTAGTTTCCTTTATTTAGCTTTCTCCTATTCTGTCAGTAGCATTTTGAGCTGGGTTTTTGGGAACTGCCAGCATGCAATTCTGGTTTGGGTGATGCAGCAGATCAGACTGCAAAGGTGTCAGGGGCAGCCCTTTGGGAATATAAAGGTCGGTGAGCAGAAGAACTTTTTCTAAAATCAATGCAAGCTGCATCATCTTTGTGGTTAAAGTCCAAACCCCTTAAGTCAAGCCCTTAAATTTTTCACTGTGATAGCGTATCCCTTTCTTGCATCAATAAATGTAACACTCTGCACCAAATAGTTCACAGACAGTGAACTGTTTTCTCTAGTTTCTCTCTTTGGCTGTACTTTACCTGGAGCTAATCCAACCATGAAGTGAATTTTGTTTTGCTGGCCTCCTTCTGTGTCTTACAATGCTGCTTGCGGGGGTTGAGTGACCATTAAGAAAAAGGGTTGTTCTGCTCATTTCCTATGTAGCTGTTTTCCTGCAGATATCCAGTTCACAAACACACTGTGATTATTTGATTACACGAAATACAAGCCCACCCAGAATTTTGCAGAATTCCAAGGCATTTGGTTGATCTAGTGGTGCCCTGTGCTGTTAAACACGGCTGGCACGCCTCCAGAAGCATTGTGTATTTGGTAATATTTGTGTGTGAGCTTAAGCTGAAGGAGTTGAAGGCTTTGCAGAAGCAAGTTTAAGGGCAAGGTTGTGGCAGCCAGGGTGTGCAGACACCACCTGACAGGCCATGGCTCTGGTGTGTTCCCCTCTGGCAGGAAGGACGGTAGGGCGGAGAATATTTGGTCAGATTTACAACTGGAGTAAATGGTGCATAATGATGAGCTAGTCCTGTTGTCTCTTTTGCACAGGAGCTTTGTGACTCAATAATGTACTTTCCAGGAGGATGAAATGTTTATTTGTGGCTGTGGTGGTTCCAAGCCATTAGTTCTCAAAAATTAGTGTTTGGACTTTGCAGAGGGTGTGTGAATACTTTGCTCATTCTGCCTCAGCCCATGAGATAGGAAAAAAAAAAAAATCCTAGCATCCTATCATGCAGGAATGTATAGATGGGAAAAAAAAAAATATAGGGCTCTGTGTAAGTATTTTGCTGACAATTATCCCTTCTCTGGGATAGAGAGCCTAATTAATTTGTGGCTTCTTCAGTTATACCCAAAACCCTTTTACTGCACCATAATGTTATCTCTTTCTAACAGGCTTAGATTATTCAGAACTGATTCAGTTTAAACAAATAAAAATCGAAAACAAACCTTTGCTCCTTTACTGCCTGACTGAGCTTTTGCTTCAGGGAAGTGTACCTGTGCTTGGATAGCTTCCACCCATCTCTGTATGCCTTTTCGAATTTTGTAGCACAAAAAGCTTCTCACTTTTGAAACTTAACAGAGGATGCTATAAAAAAAGCATGCATAAATAATGGCAGTGCTGCAGTTTGATGTGTACTGGTAGCCTACTAAAATATAAATGGAAAACTTGATCACTATTTAGAACGTGCAATTCAAAATATTATCAATGACATTTTTGATTAGTCCCAGCCCGAGCAAAGTTTTAATTTCAAGGATGTCTGTAAAGAAGCCACTTGACTGCAGATTGACCTTGGATTTCTTAGTAACCTCACATACAGAGATGAGAAAAAAAACCTATGGAAACTAAATGCTACATTTCAGTGAACAAATTGCAGGGATAGACTGGGGAGGAGGGTCAAGTGAGAGAATAAAATCTTGGCAGTGCAAGATATATTTATTAAAAAAAAGCAGCTTCTTTATAGGCTTTGGTTCTGAACAATATGGGGTTTTATTTAGTTGATCAGTAAAGATAGGAAGCAAAACAAAGGCCACTTTGTCATGCCAGACTTTCAGAAATATACCCACATCACAATGGCATGCAGCACAGTTTTTTCATACAGCTTTTTGGCTCAGACTTGGTTTTGGGTAAGAACAAAAGTTGGCAAAAACAGCTTCTGTGCTCAGAGAAGAATAACTTCTGTTGATCAGAGATTTTTGGAGAGATTTTTAATTAGACCAGTACTGTGAAGACTGCAGAGTCTAAGGAGTTCAAAACAGATATGTAAAGTACTTTTCAATTCCTCATATTTCCTCATAATTTCAAAGCCAGTGGGGAGCTAAGTTTCTAACTGCTGCCGCAGTTTAACTCTGTATAGTTGTTTTTTTCCTGCCAGGTTTGAGTCACCGTGGCCAGTTAGCCCCTTCTGGAGAGATTAAAATGATGGAAAGCTGGAATACGTTCTCCGCTTAAATGAGCGAATGTTTCTGTTCAAGCACGGATTCAGATTTCCCCGCGCTTTCCTGTAAGCGCGTGGGATGGACCAAGACCATTATTTTTAATTCCACGATAAATAACTACAGAGCTCAACTAGCAGTGAGTAGCTGGCAGTGACTAGAAAGTAGTTGGTTATAGGAGAAGGGTGACTTTGGGCTCTGTTTGGATTCAAAGCCTGGTCCAGATTCAGTGATTAAAAGCCATACAGGTTGCTTCAAACAAAGAGAGGCTTTTTGGCATATCATCAGTGGAAATACTCCCAAGCTATGTTACTAATCCCACTGCCTGGCCTGGTATCTTGCCCTTAGCATCCACGTCGGAGGCATGACAGAAATGCAAAAGGGAGGGAAAGGTCTTAGCTTTTTTGTTCAAAACTGCTGTCTGGGGCCCTCTTTTGAGAGAGGAAGCAGAGCATTGGTTATCCACCAACTGGTAACTGGTTCTCGGCACAGGCATAAGTTTTAATTCCTATTTTATGTAGGAATGTGCGCACATCTGAAGGGCCAGGGAGTGGGGAGGACACATTTGCCTTTACAGCTGCTGGCAGCAAAGAAACGCAGCAAGACTTGATTGCAAACACCTATCTTACTGTTTTACTAACTGCAGTTTTTTTTCCTTTCTCATTTGTAGGTCTCAGACTCTGGATACTGGCTGTGGGATATTTTTTATTGTTATTACTATTTTTGATTGGGTTTTTTTCCTCCCTTTTTGGATGTGAATTGAAGGCCAACAACAGCTGAAGTGTTGGAAGGAAGTGCAGGAGGACTCTCACCTTTTTATTTGAAACCTTGTTTGCTGGGATACTTTCAAGCTCTCCTTCACAGTCATGTGGTCATCACAGCTGCTGTTCTTCACAATGCTCTTAACACCGTTTGCCCATGGTGAGTGAGAGATGGTGTAAATGTGCCTGTGGGAAGGGAAGATAAAATAGCAAGGATTTTGTCTGTCTTTTCCTAATGGTGTGGGTTTTTTTACAGGATGATGATGTCTCTCCCTCCTTGCACCTCAGGTCTTTGAAATTCCCAGGTTACATCATGAGTTAACTAAAACAAAGAACTCTGGTGACACATAAAGGTTTCTTTTTCTGAGCTTAGCTGCTACATTAGACAGACGTTTTATTCCTTTTTCTTGGGGAAAAATGGATTTATTACCAATCAGATCAGAATAGGGTAATGAGAAATAAAGGGAAATCATAAAAACGCTTTCCTTCCCACCTCCCCTCTTCCTGAAGTGAACTTCCAATTGTCTCTACCTCCTCCCCTGCAGCAGTACAGGGACACAGGGTAATGGGAGTTGTGTTCAGTTCATCACATCTTGTTTCTACTGCTCCTTCCTCCTCAGAGGGAGGAGCCCTCACATTCTTCCCCTGCTCCAGCATGGGTCTTTCCCAAGGGGTCACACATCTTGCCAGCAAAACCTGCTCCGGCGTGGGCTTCTCTCTGCACAGAGCCACAGCAAGGCTGCAGGGGCACAGCTGCTTCACCTCCAAGGGCTGCAGGGAAATGTAAGTCAGCTCTGCTATGTGGGGCACCTCCTGCTCCTCTTCCTTCATGGACCTTGTCTCCAGAGCTGTTTCTCTCACAAAGCAGCAGCTTTGTCCCCTCTCTTGGAGATGTTATCCCAGAGGCGCTGCTGCGGTCCCTGGTGGGCTCAGCCTTGGCCAGTGATGGGTCTGTCCTGGAGCCAGCTGGCACTGACTCTGTCAGACACAGGGAAAGCTTCAAGCAGCTTCTCACAGAAGCCACCCCTGTAACCAGCCTCCCCCTCCCCAAAACCTGGCCGTGCAAATCCAGTGCAGAGCTGTAGCAGAAAAATTTGATCTTTTATTAGCTGGGAAAATCCTAAGTGAAATGTGACACATGGAATTCTTTGAAGTAAGATTTTGAGGCCTGTTGGGTTCTTTTGATATGAGAAACCCAAGTGTATGCTCTAGAAGTAAGCTGCCAGGTTTCACAAGTGCTGAAGGGTTCAGGAGCTCCTATTAGCAGTGATGGTTGCTGTGCTCAGAGTAAGGCTTTGGAAAATCTGGCTGCCTGATTTTTCTGATGCTTAAGTGGAAGGTGAACTCTACCAAGGATCTCATTTTAATTAAAGGCCAGTGGAAGCATGTCTGTATGTACATGACCCCCTGTATGTAAACTGTGAGCCTCTGCTTTTAAAATATTCATCAGGCTTCTTGAGCTTTACAACTGATCCTTTGTGTATGTGCTAAGACACTGGAGCAAAATCTTACAGAAAAGAAGGTGAGGAAAAATAAAAAAAAAAAAATAAAAAAAAATGGTTGAACATACCTATAGAGCACAACCTGTCTTCTATAACACCTTTGGGGACAAAGTCTATCTGTACTACTGTTCTTCAAGGAAGATTCCTCCTCACTGACTTGAAAATTAGAATGACTGAGTTGACCAATTAGGGTGGAATGAAATAGCTATTCAGAAAGGTGCTTTCCAGTCATCTTCAGGAAAGTTAAATGCTAAATGTTTTGTAAATCTTTAGAATTAAGCAGTATTAACAGTGAAAGCAGTTTTTAGTTATATATGTCTCTGGCAGTTTTGTTTAAGATTCTCAGTGCCACTGTGGCTGGAAAGTCCTGCCTGATAGTCCCAATAAATGAAGATGTCACAAGTATCTTTGAAGTCATATTATACTACATATGAGCAAATGCCAGAGGTGCAGGAACTATGTCTGGAAATACTTCTACCCTTTATGCTGCTCTCTAGACTAAAAGGACAGGGTGTTTGCTGTGGTGGTTGTGGCAGTCAGCGGTGGTAAATTTGAGCATCACACATCTACCCAACACCCACATTACCTGATCAGTTCCTAGTGAAAGTGTGATAGCTGTCTTTGAACAGGGGAGAGAGAGCAGCCTTGGTCTGAGCCAAAGAACTTCGTCTGGTTTTCCTTGTTCTGATCTCTGAGTCGCCAGGATGCAACTTCCATCTCAGAACTGTGGCATGCTGTTTAAACACATGCCACAGCCTCACCTTCCTTATAAAAACAGCCTAGTTAAGCTGTTTTTTGGGGTTTTTTCCCCCAATTTTCCCTTTTAGTAGTCCCTTTTCACTGCATGCAGAAAACATTCAGAAATTATGCTTTACAGGAATCAGGCATTTGAGTTCCTCTTTCATGATCCGGAATGACTCCTGTAGTGATTGCTGGAAATGATATGAACTGCTTTTCCAGAATGACCATGCTGCATCTCATTCCCTTTTTGAGTTCCCCTACACTGCCTCTTCATCTGTAGTGGTAGCTGCATTACAGACATCTTAGACCAGTAATCTGGTCAATAAATTGGAGAGGTGGTGGTAGTGTTTTGATGTTTTGCACGTTTTTTTGAGGGGTCTTTGGTTTATTTTTTTGCTTCAGCTATTTCATTTCTTGGAGTAGATTGTGTGTCTCGGGCTATGATGACAGGTATAGAGTCAAAGGGCGTATACTTCAGTGATCTGCAAGATGAAAAGTAATCTTCCAGAAGACTGCCATGGTACAATGTCATCTTGTTGATAAGCTGTAGAAATCATAAAAGGGGAAAAGGTCATGAGCCCTTGCATTTCCTCTGTGATAATGTTAATTTGCTGTATCCAAAATGCACAGGCACAGCACTGTCTAGTTCTGCTCAGACTGCTTTGAATCATAGCTCACTGAAAAATTAAGCCATGTGAAATACTTAAGATAATAATAGATTTGTGTAGTGGGTGTTTTCTCTACTGTTACCCTTGACTTGAACGGAAAATAGCTTACAACTTAGGGCACAACCTGGAGCAGTGTAGAAGCCCCCCAGAAGCTATCCCCTCTCCTGAGCTACAGCAAAGCCTGTAAATCCATTTGTTGCCTAAAACTAAACCTATTACACAAAATCAGAGAATTACACAAGATAGACTGAAATAATACCAAGGAATAAAATAAAACCATCAGCAATAACAATGAAAGCAAAGCCTTTTTCATCCTTTGCAAGGGCTCTGTTAAGGGGACAGGACTTTTGCACCCCTGCCTTCTTTTTGCCCCTCTTTGGAAGCTTTTCCCAAAGCATCTGAAGGTCTGGACCCTGGGTAAGTGCTCCTTGGTTTGTGTTTCCCCCCACGTGCACCTGAGCAAACTGATCTTCTTTCCCTGTAGCAGGTGGATTTCCAAGAGGCGTTTTCTGGAATGAGCAGCTGTTCTCTTCCTCAGGCTTCCTCCCCTTGACCCCAAACAAAGCAGATTTCTCTTCACCCAGAAATGAACGCTGTCAAAAGTTCACTTGAAATGAGATAGACATGACAGGCAGCAGCTCAGTTTGCAAGCCTGGAGAGATGTACACCTGCTCTGTCACATTGCTGTCGTGCTCGTGTGTGGCTCAGAGCTGAGATTTAAGACTTCCAGACTGCTGGACAAAAATAATAATAGAAATTAAAGGGATTCAGAGCTGCATGCTGTTAGGAGCAGGACAGGAAGGATACTGCAGCCATTGCTGTGGGGTGAAATTTTGCATGTCTCCAAACAAGTAACTTATGTTATGGTCTGGAAGAGAGCTGAAGGCCTGTTGTATGCAAAGATCTTTATAATCCCATCGGATTAATTTATTATTATTTACTTACAAATTATTTTTTAAGGATTGTACTGCATATCTAATTATATGCTGGGCAACAAAGAATGAGTTGTTGTTAATCTGCTTCTTTTAATAATCCAAAAAGGGAAAAACACTTATTTTTCCAATTAAGTAGTAATCTAAATTGCCTAGTTTCTGTTGGAGACTATTACAAATACAATAAAATCAACAGGTGTGGCCTTTGCCCTTGTGACATGAGAGTGAGCTGTCAGCATCCTGGATCCTTCTTGGGCAAAGTTTTGGGGTTTGGTTCCTCCTGGTCTTGCAGTTGCTTTGGACTTGTTTTGTATATATTTTAACCCTGAATTTATTAATGGGTTGCACTCTGTTCTCTCCAGATGATCCATGGGGTATGTTAGTCATTGCTGTGATTGCTTAAATTCCTTAATATTTTCCATGATATACAATGTGATTTTTGGGTTAGAACCACATACTTGGCCAAAACAAAGCAAAACTGAAGTCAGAACAAGTTAAAGAATAATGTAACCAAAGCCTGGCTGAAATTACAGGGCAAACAATAGGTATCTGTGTCATGATTTTAAGCCCACCTAGCAACCAAGCACGCTACAGACGCTTGTTTGCTTCCCTCCAGCCTCATATATAAATGTGATTCTGTATTTTCATACTGAATCCAAAACACAGCACTGTACCAACTGCTAAGAAAAAATGAACTCTATCCTAGCCAAAACCAGGACAATCTGACATGGCAGCTATGACAGACTAGGCAAAAGTTATCTGATCCCAGGGGAAGTTGCTAGTGCAGCAGAGTTTCTCAAATAATGGAGATCAGAGCTAAGTTTAAGCTAAAATAGGTTGTAGTTCAGACAAAGCCTGTCAAGTCCTGGAGCCTGGTATTGTTATGAAGCTTTAGGCCTAATACTGATACTTGACAGCACCAAACTGGCAGGACTGCAGATGCTGCTGGCCCAGTTCTAAACTTAAAAAAACTGGTTGCCTCCAAGAATTTATTTATGCAGTCTTGTGGCGTAGCTGTAAAGTGACCTTCCTGCATTTAGGGACAGATGCCATTTTGTCTCTCCATATGGGAATTAGCTCGAGATGGGGCTGAACTAATTTATCATTCCCAGAGTAGGAAATGAAATTTGAAGTCCTTTCAAGTCATTGCAGCTGCAAGGAAGAGAGTCTTGTCTGCTGTCCTGTTCCTGCCCTCTGAGCTTCTGCTCCATCTTTGCAATGCTTCTGGGAGACAGCCGTGGCGAGGGCTGCATCCCTGTGAAAAGATGGCACTCCAAGGTCAGGCTGATCTCTCTAGGCATTAGCAGGTCCAGATGC